TTTAGAACGATTTCTCCGAGGCATTTTAAAAACGGAGATTGGAATACCGGTGGAAACTGTAACAACACGGTCCCATTGTCTAGAGGAAGCGAAATCACAGGCGATGATGGATCGATTGACAAAACGGTAGAGAGTGCTGGACGAGGATCAAAATTCTTGACATAACTGCACTTTCTGAGTTAAGAGATGAAGCTCATATCTCACGGTCTAAACTCAAACCGAGAAAACCGAAAAAGGCAAGTAATGTGACTTCGACTCCAACAGTCAATGACTGCTTGCATTGGTGCTTACCCGGGATCCCGGATACATGGAATGAACTTTTCATTGCTCAGATTTGAAGTAATCTTCATCATCACACTCAAAAGGTAGTTCAGTGGCTATGTTGATTCTTTGTTAGAAAGGATTATTATATTCTTACATTCTTTCTGGAAAAACAGAAAACAATGCTTCCAGTTGAAGTGTTAGTTTTACAAATAGGGATACTAGAAGGTTTCTCCTTAGTTTCTCTTAATTTAACCCGAGAGATAAGAGTAACAAAACCAATATAATAATTAATGTTAGATAATTTTCCACAGAAAAAAACAAATTCACTATTGAAGGAAGGTGATCACAAAAACAAATTTTTGTTACTATTATTATTCAACATTTTTTTACTATATCAAATTAATAGAACATGACATAATGATAAGATAAATGAACGTTAAAGATGGATATAAACGTCTTTGAAATATGGAAATATATATATTAATTTTTCTATAAACGGGATTACAGGCCTCGAACATTTAACTAAATTGTTCTCATTGTATACTGTAATTGTTCCTTTGGTAACGAGATTCTTATTCTATCTTAGCTAAGGAATAATGAATAATAATATATTGTGATTATAAGCAAGAAACACATTTATTTGGTTTGATTATTTGAAATGTCTATAGGTTTTTTTTTTTTTTTAACACTTCCAAATTTGATTTTACTTTCTCCCAATTACATGCATTGAATTATTTGTTTTCCTAATCGTGTGGTAGGAAATTGCAACAAAAAATGAATTTCGGATGCTAAATGGTGAGAATTGATAAAATATTAAGCTAAAAGACCAAAAACGCAATTCTAACATAATCAAAGGACTACAATGCAATACATTGGAAATAAAAATCATTAAAGGTCAAGTGTTTCTTCTCTCGCCGCCGTTTATAAAATCATCTTTCTCCGATTACGAATCGCCGGTAGAAATCACTGATTCACACACTGATTCTTAAATCTGAATAAGTAAGTATCAGAGACCTATTCCGGTGAAAAAATCCACCGGAAATTTGATCAATTTATCATCTGTTAGGTCGAGTATTCGTCAATGGCTTATAGAGGAGGCGGTAGCTTTGATCCTCCAAAACCTTTTGTGATTTTCCCTGTAAGTCTAAAACTTTAGGGTTTTTTTGTTTTGTTTTTTGTCCCCAAAAAAATTTGATCTTTTTTCCTCTGTTGTGTTTGG